GACTGTCCTGCTCTGAAGGCTTTCAGTGCTGGCGTGCACTGAGGCCTGGCTCATGCCATACCAAGCCTGTTCTCAGCCCCTTTGCTGCTCTCCAGGACTGTCCCTTGGCAGAACCAGGCTCCAGTGGGTGTTGCCAGGCTATGAGCAGCTCTTTGCTCACAGCCAGGAGCAGTTTGTGTGGGTGATACCTGTGGAAGCAGAGCATGTGCAGGTGCCCAGCTTTGAAGACCAACCCGAGCAAGGCTAGACCCTGTGGGTCAGGGCAGGTGATGCTGAGGAGGAGACACTATGCCCAGGGCTTCCAGCCACAGCACCTGTGCAGCACAGACAGTCCTACCCTCTCTGGTCATGCCACACCGAATCTTTTCCTTAAGCCCAAGCCACCACTCAGCAGCCACAAAACCATGTTGTGCTTGCAGGGGTCGCCTGGGGATCTCTCTGTGAGGAGAGGACATGAGCCTGTGCTTCCCCAGCACAGTCCTGGGCACCATGGGCTGTTCTGGGGCCGAGGGGACATGCTGTGCCCATGGTGTTTTTCCAGCCCTGGACATCTCAGGGAGAACATCCACCCACCTCGTGGGGAGTGTGTGCCCCCTGAGCCCCTCAGTCCTGCTTTGGTGGGGCCTCTCAACCACCCAGAACTGCTGTGGTGATCACCTCTTTCCATGGCTGTGGGGGTGGGGAAGGAGCACCATCTGGATCAGCACTGCAAGAATTCAGCTGAGTATTTCCAGATTGTTTGGCATTTGGGCTTTCTGGATTACACTGGGATAAATTCCTGACTCCCAAACTCTGTTTGCTTATCCTGAATTCAAGAGAGTTTTTTTTTAATCTTTGGGGTTTTTCTTTTTATAGCTGCAACATTCTGATGAAGTTGTGGTCAATTAGTGATTTGTTTACCTTCTTCATAGGAGTGTTTTGTTTAGAGAAATTAATGCTAATAGAGCTGAGAGGCAATTTGTTGTTCCCATCAAACTCACGAACTTTGTGCTTTCGTTGGCCCCGTGTAGGCTCTTGCATGGTTTTCATTTTCTCTTCAGGGCAGTAGCAAGAGCTGTGCTCACACCCCTGTCTCAGCCTGCAGGTCAGCAGTGACCAGAAGTGCACAGTACATCTCAAACTGAGACTTCTTTTTGCTGGAGTCCAACTGGGCAGGTAACCCCCATGCTAAAAAAAAAAACACATCAGCTTTGCCCTTGCTCAAAGCAGCTTCTGAAATGTGACTTTCCCTCCCAGTCTCTGATCCACCACAGCTCAGCTCAGCACCTAGATGGATCACAGAACCATCAGGGTTGGAGGAGACCTCTGAGTCCAACCATGAACCTGTCACTGCTGGAACCCCCAAACCCTAACCCAGATCCTGCAGTGCCACATCAGACACCTCTGAAACACCTCCAGGGATGGTGACTGCACCACCTCCCTGGGCAATATCCCAGGGCCTCAACATCCCCACAACGAAAAAACTTTTCCTAACATCTAATCTGAATCTCAAATCAGGTCCCTGTTCCACCACAGGGAGAAGCTGTGCCACTAAAGTGATAGTCACGGTGAGCCCAAACTGACCTACAGTGGGAGCTGATGGATGAACTCCTGTTCTCAACAGGGACACACACTGGCAGTTGGAATGCAATTGTACATTCCATTAGCTATCCTACATCAAACTGTATTGTATTATGACAGTGTCTCTGTCAGATCAAAGCAGAGGGAACAGGACACAAACTGAAGGTTTGGCACGAGGCTGCTGTGCCTTTGCAGTACCCAAACGACAAGATTTTACTAAGTGTTTCAGTTAGTTTTTGGTCACAGCATCTAGAGAAGGAATTTGGCTCTGATCAGGCTACAGCTGAACCCTGAAGATGCTGTTCAGCTTCACTGCCACCAGGCACCAATAGGTACACTGCTGAGGCCACTGCTGGTCACCTTGGAGGCTCTCACCGAGGGACTTCCAGCTCCTCTGTGCTCCCCAAGTGTTTGTAGCACTTAGATCTTCATTTCTGAGGTGCTTTTCAGGGAGCTCTGGGCAAAACCACAGGATTGTTGAGGTTGGTAGGGACCTTTTGGAGGCCACCTGGTCTGAGCCCCTGCTGTGTGGGGAGGGTTGCCTGGAGCAGGTGTCCCAGGACCAACTCCCGTCAGCGTTTGAGTATCTGGAGACATCTCTGGTCATGATCCTCACCAGTCCAGGACAACAGCCTTCAGCATTTACCTGTGCCCCAGGCAGTGGTCCCTGTGCCCCAGGCTGTGCCCGTCGGCGCTCGGCTGCTCGTGGTAGGATGAACTGAGCACCTCAAGTAAAGTATTTCAGGCTTGGAACTCTCCTATGGTGATGTAATACAGCAATTCTGTTCAGCATCAGCCTCATAGCTTGTTTTGATTGTCTGGGGCCTTATGGTGGTGATTTAAACCTACTGATTTATTGATTCAGGCTTAATTGAGTCCTGAACTGGGACGGTGCATCGTTCTAGCTTTAATTGCGTTAATGAGAGTCTAGCAAATTAGGCTGCTAATATGACTGTTTAGAGGGATCCCTGCCTGCTCATGCTTCCTAATGGAATCCATAAAAGT